AGTCTTCTCAAAAGCCACAGAAGATCAAATGGCTCCCACTTCTGAAGAAATAGCTGTTTTGGAAACAACAGCTGAGGATTTCCCTATCTTTCCGGAAACCTCACCTGCGTTTGAAATGGTTCTGACTGAAACTGTTCAAGAGAAGGCAGCCTCTCCCCCACAAGAGCAGAACCAAGAAGCAACTGAAGAAGAAGAATTTCAGCAACTGATCCAATCTCAAGTGCTCGAGATCCTCACAACTCCTTGTGAGATCTCCAATCAGACACAACTTGAGATTCTGGAAAAGTCAGTAGAAATTCCGGAACAGTCAGCTATTCCAGAAATCATGGAGAAAGCAGTAGAAGTCCAAAGGCACTCTGGAAAAGCTGAGAAGGAAACTCAGATGGCAGAAGTGGAGGTCTCTAAAACTCCAATAGCCATTTTTGAAGAACCAAATAAGCTGAAGATAGTGACTCCCTCTCCAGATACATATCAAATTTTGCACTTGATGAAGCAGAAGGAGAATCTGAGAGGACAGTAAAGATCACTGATGAAGAAGATGTGCAAGAAGATGCTGAATCTCTTCCTTTGCAACTCTTTCAAAGGACATCATCTCCTCATCAGGTAACTAATTTTCACTTCCATAGCTCTTCCATTCCTACTCTTCCGGATGAGATACCGGAAACCTGGACAAAGAAGGTACAAGGGCTAATTGAGTCAGCCCTAGCATCTCAACATGCCTCCTTTAGGCAAGAAATAGAGCTAATGGAAGCCAAACACACTGAGCTGATAGAGAAATCTGAAGAGAAACACAGCGCTGATCTCAAGGAGATAAGTAAATCAGTAGAAAAGACTCTAGAGATCATCTCTCTCTTAAGTAAAACTGTGAGCAATACGATGGAAATATACACCTCTGACAGTCAACTGCAATTCAATGAATTCAACAAAGTCAAGGAGCAAATAGCAAATGTCACAATTGGTCTACAAAAACAGATGTCCCTTCTCCAAATGGACATCAGATCAGCCCTAGCTATAGCTTCAGCAAATCAGGTAGTAACCAAAGACTACTTGAAGG